TGCCGACACCACGTGGTTAGCCCATGCTGATGCGACTTCCACCGAAGTGCGTGCACGGCATCCAATAACAGAGGCATGTAGAGCCAAGCATTTGTACCGGGGCCCACGGCACTTTCTGGGGGCCGCCCGCCTACCTCCTATTGGGGTACCGTAGTTGCGGGTGCTGCCGGGACGTCCGATCCATCCATTCCACTTCGGAATGCGGGCTCGTGGGGGTTGAGCGCGTCAGCACAAGCCATATCAACTAGATGGACTCGGGCCCGGGCCAAACATGCCGCGTGGTGGGCATGCCTACACACCGGCCAGAAACATAGCGTAGACGCTCTTGCCCTTTGTCCGCCCTGACCGGTTCGGTGCAAATCGGGCATGGTTTTCCATGGCGCGGCATCGCGCGATTGTGCCTCCGCCGCAGGGCACATGCGCGACGCGCCGAGCGGCCACGGAGCCACGACACTGTGGGAAGCGACTCCCCGGCATCAGCGGTCCCCCACGCCGCCTCTGGAAGCGCTGGACGACGTCAGTATATTGGAAGAGCTTCGCCACCCCGTGCCGACACTACAAACCGTGCCTGTGTTCCTGAGAGCGGGCGTGCACCGGGCACTCGCGAACAGCCTTCGGTATCTCCGGGAGGCCTACGTCGGGCAGCCCGACGACTGTGCTCGTGCCCGTGCCTGGCCCTGCTGACGCCCCGCATGCTCCTTGCACGCACGGCTGAACAGGGTGGGGATGGGCGCCGCACGCTCCTGCTGCGACTCCAACAATGCGAGCAGGGACTTTGGCCCGCACTCCTCGCGGCCGCGCGGGCCGTGCGAGCTTCGCCTCGGCCCGCCAGCGACGGGGACGCGGAAGCAGTGGCCGAACGCCGGCGTGACGTGGCCTGCGCGCGTGTACGCAAGGGCGAGCTTTCCGCGCCCGGCAAGCGCTGACCGCCGCAGAGCTTGCGCCAGGCAAGCCGAGACTCGGGCCGCCCTCACCGACCCTGCCAGGCGACCGTCGCAACCGCGTGAGCCCGTGCCGTCGGAGGTCCTGCAGTTCCAACCGTTGTCGCCCGCGCGCCTGACCTCCTCACGCAGCCTTCGCGAAACCAAGCGAGGGAGTGCGCCGGGTTTGTTAGGCGCGCGAGTGGGACATGCGGATGATGTCGAACTGCTCACGGAAGCGGCAAGCTTGCTAGCGCATGCCGGCGCTTGAGGTTGGGGGGCGGTGGTCCCCGCAGGCCGCGGAGTTCCAATCTCGGGCTCGTACTGTTCCCGCAGCCACCTTGTCACAAGTTCTTCTTTTCCACCTGCACGGGTCGGGCGGCGAGGTGGGCGTCTGCAGGGTCCTAGCCCACATTATGGTGCGCAGTCGCAGCGAGGACATGGTCGAGGTACGGGCCCTGGGCTTGGCTCGCTTGGGGCGGTGCGGGCCAAGCCGACCCCAAGGCCGTGCCGGTCACAGCCCGCTGCACGGAAACCGAAAGCACAGCCAGCCCACCAGCGCCGCGCCCAGGCCGATGTCGCTGCAGCGCGCACGTACGGACGCGCACAAAGGTCCCGGAGCAGCTGCCGCGCTCATGCATTCAACGCCCCCCAACCTCGGAGCCCAGGAGGAGGAGCGCTTGCGGGCCGCCAGCTGTCAACTTCGGGTACGCGACGCGTTTGCGCCACTCGGCGAACCGCAAGGAGGCTCCGTCATGCGTCGCCGTGCAGGGCTGGGGGAGGCCCGTGCGCGTCACCGGCGAAACGCCAAGCGGCGTCGCGCCGTAGATCACGAGATCCAAGCGGCGGCGCGGGGACGCCTGGCGCAGTGGTGTGTGAGTAGTGGTTGCGAATGTGCGATGGTCAGGGCTGCCAGCCATGTGGCCAGTCGCTCTGGGCCAAGCCCTCGTCATGGTTGAGTATTGAAGTGGGCGGGCACCCCTGATGACTACGTCCCAAGAAGGGCCCTTCGGCTTGCAGAAGGTGGCGTGCGTCCGCCGCCCCCTTGAGGCCCGACGCGGCGGTCGCGCCCATGGCGAGCTGGCGCACGCATGCAAGTATTAGCGAAAGCCGGGGCGCGGGTCCAAAGCACAGGCACAGCATCAGCCCAAGCGGCCCAGTAGGCAGCCGGCGCCGTCCGCTGACAGGCTTGCCAAGCTTCTCGGGCAAAGCTGCAAGGTCTCCCAAATCGCGGCGTCATGCTTTTGGGCATATTGGGCGACTGCAAGTGGAGGCACGGTGCGGAAGCGCACATTGTGAGGAGGAGCCAAGTGCGTTGCAAGTCAGGTGGCTGAGGCAGCTGGTGTTTGAAAATCTTCCACTCGGTCTGCAGCCGCTGTTCTGCCCACGATGCAACGAACTGCGGGTGGCCGATTGGGGTGCCCACAAGGAGCCCTCGCTCGGCGGGAGGTTTGTCCCCTCGCCAAACGTTTGCCCAAGAGCGTCGATGCCCGGAGGGGCGGGCCCACCAGCACAGCTGTACACGCGGGTCTTCCCCTCATTGGAAGCGATGCCGCATTCTTCGTGAAAGATCCCAACAAGGGTGTCGCGAGAGGCACGCGCCCGGTCCCGCGTGGTCACGACATACAGATCGTCAAGGACTGCCAGCAAACTATCGGATGGGTGGAGGCACGCCTCGGCATCCCACCATCAATACGTGGAGGGCTGCCCGTAAAACAGCCGCAGGAAACGTAGTAGTTCTGGTGCGGTCTCTTGGAGGCCAGTGAGGAAGCATGCTCAGGACATGCTGTCATACGCACTCCGCCCATCCAGGGAAACAAGGACAGCGTCGTCACTAAGTTCCAGCGCTGTCCGTACATGGGCGGCTAATGCGTCGGCGAAACACGTCGCCCGTTGCGACGCCGTGCACTCCGCCATCTGGCTTGCGCAGCGCAGTTATGCGGGCAAGAGCCAGGGCTGGCGCGACGTCTGCGGGCATTCGGGCGTTCGCCAACTGCGTTGCTGCAAAGGCAAGGAGCTCAAGAGCTGGCACGTCAATCAACACGATTTTCAAATGCTTGACTCGCATGCCCGACAAGCCTGCAGCCCCACCTCGTCTTGAGTCGCGTAGCGCCGTCGCTGTGGCCGCCGGTCTTAGGAGGATGGGCTGGGAAGAGCGGTGCTCCATGACGGCGTCCGGGATCGGCCGCAGCGGCTCGACGCCGGACGGGCGTCATTGCCAGGGGCGAGCTCCGCCGCCGTGAGGAGTTGGCGAGCTCTGGACATTTCCCCCGTTCCACGCGAATTTCTCCAAGACGAACGCAGATTTGGTGATGTGCGTCACAAATACCGAGCCTGCTCTAGCACTCGCTCGCTTCCCTCGCTTCCAATCGACAACAGTGGCAGAGAAGTTCATCTGTTCGCAGCGGAAGCACCGGCGACTGCATTCGTTAAATACTCAGCTACAACCCAAAGAACGTTGTTGCGAGCTACAAATCATGCAAAATGGTTTTTCGAGAACGCGAACGTTGGGCCGATTGCAAGCGTCAATCGACTTGAGTGCGACGGAGCTTTGCTAAAACCCCATCTGCGCTATTGTCGACCCGAAGGATGAATCGAAACCCCGCGCGAGAACTCACATTTTCGGGCATAAACAAGGCTTTTGACGTCGCATGGATCGCTCAGCTGCTGTGCGTCTGGGGTTGGACAGGGTTGCCGTTCTCAAAGGCTTCCTGTTTCGCATTTAATAAACGATAATAAACGGAGTTTTTGCTTTGAAGCGTAGCGTGTTTGTGATGGCGTTTCATGTGAATTTTCTGACGCAAAACCACATTTACTGTATGCAGATGACGTGGTAATGTTAAGTGACAACCCCCAAGACCTGCAGCGTACCTTCAACGCCGCTCATGTTTGGGCTCACTCTTCGCTGTTTCAAATTCAAATCGGGCCAACCAAGTCTGCCGTCATGCTCTTCGGCCGCCGTGATGGCCGCGGACGCGACAAGCTTTGCAATCTACGTGGCCAAACATCACGTTGCCGCGGCGCACGACAAATGGCAACTTGTTTGTTTTGGACAGGGTCCGCGTGCTCGGACGGCCCCGTGGCTCACCTCGCCTTCTTGTCCAAGCCCAACTCACCTGGCGTGATGCTTCTACCGCCCGACTCATCGTTGCTGCCGGGGTTGCGGGCTCGACTTTTCAGTCTGATGTGAGGCCGCTTTGCAGGACATCTTGCTCGCGTTGCTAGCCGGCACCCGCGATTATGGGTGTCCTCGCTTTGCACATGAGTTGGCGTGCGTGGGTGTTCCCCCCGCCTGTCCTCGTGACTCAAATGTTGGTTATAAAAGATGGGGCTGAATCATGCACGGGCGATCCTGGCAGATCGGTTCCATGCAAGCCAAGCCTAGCTCAGTACTTTCGATGGCAAACGCGACCGCAGGCGGCAGTAGCTGCTCCGGGCGTGCAATGCCCCAAACATCGTGCAGGTCATGAACAATGGTGGTTGCATGGGGCGCCAAATTGAGGGGCGCAGGTTACTTACCCTGCCGACAATGGGCGACTTCGCAGTCTTCGTGCGCCACGTGAGGGTCCATAAGGGTCCATACGGGTGTACAGGGAGCGCATGCTGCGTGGGGTTTGATAGGGGGGTTCGGGTGGAGTACATGGGGTTCATTGGGAGTCCAGAAGGTCGTCGGAAGGTCATAAGGGCGCATAGAGTCCACAGATGTCCACAAGTTGGTCCACAAGTTGGTCCACATGATGCTGGGCGAGGTTCTGGAGGAGGGCGTTTCGACGTGTGGCAAAAGCGACGCCTCGACTGAAGAAAATCGGACTATCCGGCCGGGAGGTGGCATCTACCAACTCCTCAAGACGTTTGGCATTCCACGACTTGCCCCTTAAGCCCCAAACCTACACAGCACAGCGTTTCGGCAATCCTGCCATTATGTTGCTCCGATTTGTTCTCTCATGCTGATGGCAACGAACTACAGAGATCCCCGAAATCCCCAAGCATCAGTCAAGCATCCAGCGAACTTTATCGCTCCTCTTTTTAGTTGGATCCTCAGCTTCCTGAGCTCTGCTCCGCAGGAAATTTCCTGAGCTTCTACAGTGAAACGGTGGAGTCTTCAGATTCTGCAGCCTCATCCTTTTCTCGGGCTTCACTCCTGGCCTGGCATCCGACCTCAACTGTCGGTCGCGTGTTGGCACAAAGGCAATGGGCGTAGGCAAACGCAGTGGCCAGCAACAGTGCAGCATAGGGAATCAATGGTAGCAATTTGTCCTCCTCGTCTTCGGTGAGCTGCAGAGTATACTCGAACGGAAACCATGTAAGGATACTGAAGGCGAGCATTACCGGCACCAGCAGGCACGAGGCAACGGCTCGCGGCACCAGCTTCTGTAAAAAGAGCCCCAACTTCAGGAGGGGTTGAAAAAACCTCGCTGCAAACAGGATGACCAGTACAGGATATGTTGCCTGGCAAAAGCCGCGAAGGATCACTCCAGCTCCCACATCCTCCCCATCCTCCCCATCCTCGCCCTCCTCGCCCTCGCCGCCCTCCAACATCTTCAGAATGCCTGCGGCAATGTACACGGAAATGAACGGGACGTTGCACACCTTCCCATCAGACAAGAGACATTGAAAGTCTGCAACGATTCTGTTCTGCGCTGCACGCTACATCACTCCACAGTTTCAATAAGTTTCGGTGACTGGTTGAAGAAAACTTTTGCAACTTGTAAGGTGCAGCCAGGATGCGCACGTCATGCAGAGCACATGCCTCCCAGGGTAGGCGAAACCCTGACAACAACTCAAACAACATGTACAGAACCCTCTCAACCATCCATCCAAAGCGCCCGAAGCTACAAGCATGTGGGTTTCGGTTTGTGGTTTGCAAGCCCCTCACATGGCGGGGAAGGTCCCGCGCAGGCTCTGCAACACCACCCGGGACAGGCGCTGCTGCACCAAATCGTTGAAGAATTCCAAGGTTGCCTCCGTGTCCTCTCAGGGTTTTCTGAAGAAGCCGTACGCAGAGTATGCTGAAATTTTGAGGCCTCTGTTCACGGAATGTTCATTTGTGTGTCCAAAAAAGAACTCGACCAGCGCAGCGGAGTTCTGCGTAAACTCGCCCTGTGCAGACACAGCCTCAAGTCCTGTCTTCTGTTTCTCGAAACATTCAGAATCTCGTTTGTGTGCATTCCCGGGCAGGTTTGAGGATCTTGGGTCGGTGCCGCTCCCACTCTTGTTCGAGCGCGATTTTAGCCGCAGAAGACAAGTGAAAACAACTTCACCCCGTCTCAGGGTGAGCTGTGTGCCTGTAGGGATCCAGACAGAAATTGGAGCGGCATATGAGACACAAATGACCAACGACAACATCCACAAAAGCCTGTCTGTTCCCAATCTTTTCTGTTCCTAATCTTTCAGCTCACCTTCTCTTGCTGTTCCGTTCATCTGCAATTGGAGAGATTCAAGCCAAAAAAAGCATGAAAAAGTAATGGCAAGGTTTCGGCACCGCCCATAGCAGTCCTTCTGCATCCCGGGACGGCCGTTTGTCCAATCTTGACTGTTTCTTCAGCCGGGGTTACAGGCAGAGATTGTCAGATTTATGTGACATAGGTTTGACACCTTAAGTAAAGCAAAAAAAGAAACGGCTTCTACCAGGCAACTGCACAACGTTTCATGTACCAGCTGGCGGTCACATGGGATACTTCGACCGGTGACCGGGTGCGTGTGGCCGTTCGAACAGCAAAAGCAGGACGCATCCTGAGCAAGACAGCGGGGCTCCCTTGTGCCGTTGCCACAAGAATGAAGGAGTTATGCTAGCGACATGACAACTTTCACGCACGTGGCTGTACACTGGATCAGGGGCATACGACTTCCAAAAAGCCAACTGTTAGGCCCAGCATCTTGAATTCGAAAGGTTTCCAGCTGCTTGGGCAAGATTTCCAAGTCACTCATCAGCTCAATGCCCAAGTAGTTCACGAAAGGGATCACCAGACATGCTAGACATCCCACCAGGAACAGCAAGTAGCTAAGAAAAAGATCATCTGTCTCATCCGTACCAATGACAATGTCCAGCCTTGGCTGCTTGTCCCCTGACAAACATCAAATCCTGCCACTTCCATCAGGCGCAAGCTTCTAGCTTTTGCTACCGAAGGGTGACGGCCAGTGCCGCCGGCCCGCCTGGCAAAAAGCTGCAGCTTCGCCGGTGTTTCGTGGAAAAGTGAATGTGGAGGTGTTTTCATGGTTTTCCCACGGGTAAGAGCAAGCAGAAACAGGGCGAGCTTCACATTTACACTACTACCCTCTTCCCAGCATATGAGTGCCAGCAGCTCAACCCTCATTGGAGCTTTTAATGCTGCTGCAGCCCCTTCTGGTGTTGGAACAGCTCCTTTGCTGTTGTTGTTGTTGTTGTTGTTGTTGTTGTTGTTGTTGTTGTTGTTGTTGTTGTTGCTGGTGTTGTTGTTGTTGTTGTTGTTGTTGTAAGATTCTGGCCCAAGATGAGGATTTTATTTCTCGTAGCCGTAGCGAGCTTTCTTGGGTGCCTGGGTCCCAAGTCCCAGGGTCCAGCCATGGATCAGAATCGAGGGTTTCGGGAAGTAGCGCCCCCCGATGAAGCTGAGCAGCATGCGCAGCGAAGTCAGCTAACCATGAACAAAACCGGCAAGCGAAGCTACCAAAGAGCTTGCAAAGTTGCCCTGGCGAAGGGAGCAGCACTTTACAAAGGCCGTCTTCTGACAGCTCAGGCTCTAGGAGCTCATGAAGGACAATTCGCGTCTCCTGCGAAAGCGGAGAGGCGCTCTTTTCAACCGACCAGACAGATCCATCACAAATTTGACATGGAAGTCCTTACTTGGAACGCAGGCTCAATTACAAGTCGAGTTTGGAACGAGATTCTGGCCCTTTTGGCAACAACAGAGTACAAGAACATCAAAATCGTTTTCCTGCAGGAGTCGCATTGGCAGCAGGACCAGGTCTACAGCTCAGGCCCGTGGTCAGTCCTAACCTGTGGTTCAACAAGCAGACACAAGGCTGGCCTGGTTGTTTTGGTGCATAGTTCACTGGCTCCTCTTTCAGAAATTCGCAGCACTTCCATTGTTCCAGGGCATTTGCAGCACGTCATGATCCCGTGGCAGAGATCCAGAATACATCTCCTGAATCTGTACCAGCACGTCTGGGATTCAAAGCTCTCGAAGACGGAAAACAGAGGCAGGAGAAAGGACGTGATGACACAGCTCGAAAATCGCATTCAGCGAGTCCCACAACGTGATTTCTTGCTTGTGGCTGGGGATTTCAATTCGCATGCGGTGACTGAACGTCCTCATATCGGACCCAGTGTGCCTCATCGAGTACGGTTTGCAAATGCAGATGTGAAGACACTGCCCTCGCTCTGCAAATCCTGTGGACTAACTGCGCTGAACACTTGGGCTTCTGGCCATCGCAGTACGTATGTTAACAGCGATGGCACATATTCCTCTCAGATCGATTTTTTGCTGGTCAGACTGCACGATGCTCGGAGGAGATCCAAGGAGGCCTACTCGGATAAGAACTTTCCTGTGGCTGCCTACAGAGATGGATCAAAACACTTTCCAGTGCGAGCTACTCTGTTCATTCCTCCTTACAGTCCTACACCCAGCAAGCCACGGCCATTTGATGTCACAGCCCTGGATGCGAGCTTTCGGCGGAAAGATGACAACTGGCAGGCATTCTCACATCGTCTGACGGAAGCAGTGGTGAGGACAATGCAAGTGAGACCGTCTTGGCAAGAACTGGATGAAGTGATGGTTCGTGTATCAGCTGAGCACTACCCACCACCACGCAAGTCTCAGCCAGCAGCAGGTCCAATCCATCAGGAATATTGGAAGAAAGTGCGGCAAATCCAGGCGCACAAGAGAGCTGGAACCGAGCATAATCCAGAATGCCAGAAGCTTGTGGAGGACATCAAGGAGGAGGCGCGGACTTTCAAAAAACAGCAAAAACAAAGAAAGCTAGAGAAGCAAGAGCAGTTGCTTCTACAAGCCCAGGAAGATAAAAGGCAACAATCCCACAAACTGGCTCATACTCTCAGGAAACTCGCTCCGTGGCGCCCAGTGCAGAGAGTCAACCTAAGGGATCAAGCAGGTGAGCCGCTTGATACGGAGGCCTCACTAAAAACTATGCGCGAATACTCGAGTCAAATCTTCTCCAGAAGTCCTCCTTTGCAATCAGTAGATGCTGTGCCCAGAGCAGCGATCACCGCCTTGCAGGTATCCTCACAAATCAAGACAGTGCCAGTGGGGAAAGCAGTCCCCAGCACCTCAGCTCCAGTATCAGCCTGGAAGAGTCTAGGTCCTGAAGCCCATGAACACATAGCAGGTCTAATCAACTCTGAGGTGTCTCAATCAGAAATTTCCCCTTATCTAAAGGATCCTAGAATTGCATGGATCCCCAAGCAGGGCAAGCCAGCCACCGCCATGCCAAACCTGAGGCCCATAGGAGTCATCAGCGTGCCAGGAAAAGTGCTAGCAGGCGCAGTGAAAACTCGCATTGCGCCAGCACTGCAGGTGAGCTCACAGCTTCAACCTCAGTTTGCGTATATACGGCAGAGGGGGGTGAGGGACGCTATCGCGAAAGCATGTCAGCACCTCGATTACGCGCAGCAGCTCCGTCAAGAGCATCGCAGGGACCTGCACAGGTCCCAACGCGGAGCCAGGCAGGCTCAGCTGTCAGGTGCACTCACAATTTCGGTTGATCTGAGCAAGGCTTTTGATTCTGTTAATAGACATGAGCTGCTAGCAGCCTTGGATCGCCTGGGCATAGACCCTGTTACGAAAGAACTGGTAGTTCAACTCCATAGTGAGACCTCCTACAACATGGGCACTAGTGGACTAGAGATTCAAGTTCCCACTTCTTCAGGAATCAAACAAGGTTGCAAGCTAGCCCCGGCATTGTGGTCTGCGCTTACACTTCTAGTCATGAGTAGAATGGAGCAGAAATGGGGCCCAGACAGCAAGCAAGCTAGGGACATCCTAACGGTCTTTGCGGACGATTTCCTGCTTCAGGAAACCTTTTCGAGCTTTCCTGAACTTCAGAAAGTCCTGCTCAGAATAGAGGCTCTCTTTCAGTCTCTTGAGGACGTGGGGCTGGAAGTTAATCCAACGAAGTCTAAAGCCTTGCTAATGGTTCAGGGCACTCAGCAGTCCATCTTTCGCAAGATGCACACGATGCGCAAAGAGAAGCAGCTGCACATCGTCCTTCCCTCAGGACATAAGATTCCGATTCATCATAAGCTAACATATCTAGGGGTGCAGCTCAGCTATGGATCCTACAAAGACCAGACTGTTGACTATCGGATCGCCCAAGCTCAAGGCAAGTTTGAGCTACTTCGACACATCCTGTGCTCCACTAAGGCTCTGGATGCTTCAAAGAAGTTGGAGATCTGGAGGGTCTATGTGGAATCCTCACTCTTGCATGGGCTTGTGGCCACAGGCATCACTTCATCAGGTCTTCAGAAGCTCCAGAGTAAATACTCGAGGATGCTAAGATCCATCTTTAAGCAACATCAGCATTACAGCCACATTGACACGAAGACTCTGTTCGAGCAATATATGGCGCAGACTCCTCAAGCAGTTTTGATCAGCCAGATGAAAAACTATCAAGACGCACTAGATGCCTGTCAGAAGCACAACCCGGATCAGAACATACAGTGGTATCTGGGACTTAGAGGCAGGATTGTTGCGCTGCAACAGGAGCTTCGGAGCATGCAATTGGACCTGACCGAGGCAGCCCAGGAGGTGCCGTGCTCTCTGTGTGATCGGAAATTCTCCAGCGCCAAGGGTCTTCAGCACCATACACTGGTGAAGCATGGAGGACAGCGTGCGAATCAGCTAGGCCCAAAATTTCAGGTCACTGTGCATAGCTGCAAAGGACTTCCGCAATGTGTGGCATGCAATAGGCAGCTGCGCACAATGCATCAACTTCGCAGACATGTGGAGTCAGGCATTTGCCCTCAGCTGCACGAGTTGAAAGAACGAGCCAAATCCTGTACAAGTTCAGAAAGCATAGCTATGATCTATCAGTCTAGCGTGCAGGAACAACTTAAGAAGGACCCTGACCTTCTACTAAAAAAGAGACATGTCACTCAGCATCTATTAACGAACTGCAGTCTCTGTGGGCAATATATCGTTGGCCATAAAGGAGTGAAGCAGCACATTCAGAAAGCTCATCCCGCTTTCTGGGCACAGTCCTCGGAATCCATTCTTGCCAACATGCGAACACATAAGCGCCTACTGCACAAAAAAGAGGAATGTAGGTATTGTCGCATTTTGGTAGACGCTCCAGTACGCCATGCAGAGCAATGTGTGGTTCTGCTTCAGACATATGCCATGAGTGCAGCTTGTGCCAAGTCTGTAGAACTGCCAGACCTCTTCCGCGCAGATCCTCCATTTAGCCAGGTGAGAGGCAGGGAGGCTTCCTCCCGGGAGGCTTCCTCCAGCAGCCGAGCCTCTTTGCTGACACACACCGCAAGCGTCTCTGGTCGTTCAGCCACTGCACCTCCCACAGCTTCCGCGCAAGACGCTGCCTGGCGTCTAGCTTATCATAATCCGCATCAACTTTGCTATGCACACACTGTCGTTCATATCCTTCTCACTCTCTTGTCAGATGGACTGTTCCCTGATCCTTCCTTAAATTCCATCCTAACTGAAATAGGTTCCCTAAATGGCAGATCCTCTCATGCGGATGTTCGGAGGTTGAGACATCTTCGTCCGCTGCTAGCAGGGTGGCGACTACGACCCAGGCAGGAGGATGCATCACAGTTTTTGTTGCATATCTCTCAGCGCATTCCAGATCTTTCATCAGATAAATGGGAGGCGCGAGTTCATATCTCAGAACCGGAGGAACGCATAAGTGTTGAGGAAAAAGGCGGCTTGATTCTGTATCTGCCCGAGCCGCCGGACGGACTCTCGACTCTTCAGCAATCAGTCACACAATGGACGAACAGGGGTAGTGTGTTTGCCTTGCTTCCGGGTACAAGAATCATTTGCCTGCAAATTCAAAGATTTGATCAGCAAATCAAAACTTCTCGCCCACAAGCGTTGG